TTAAACTGTGCTCTGCATATCAATTACAATATTTAAATTTCATATATAAATTGAATGAAAGCAAACTAAATTTTTGAAAAGCCAGACCTGTTTAAGATAGAAACCGGCAGCTAGCGCTGATTGTCCATGAAGAAAAATCATAACACTCCTGTAATAGTGGAAGACTTTGAGCCACTCAATGCTGGGAATAAGTCAGGTTGGCCAAACAATTTCCAAGTGGATTCAATAATAAACCATTATATAGCTAGTTGTGAGCTACAGTATACTGTAGTACAGTGGCCCCGCCTAACAGACCTCCTGTGTAAGGGATTTTTGCCAAACAGACCAGCTCTGCAGGCAGTTTTTCCTCCCGCACAACAGACAAAATCTGCCAAACAGACTTCTGTTAGTTCAAAATCAGTGCTGAAAATTGAAAGTTTTAATTTTTTTATAATTGAATTTGTCTAACAGACTTGTCCATTGCACGAATTAAGTCTGTAGGATGGGGGTTGACACTGTACAGTATTGTATAATTTCCTATAGTTTCTCCTGGTAGGCTCAATAAGGAATGTGTTCTTGGCCTCATTCCCATAGCAGGGGCATTTTTTCCAACTAGTGAAAAACTTATGAGAAACGCCCATGCCGTCCCAACACCCACATTTCCTGATTGGTTGTACAGTACTTGGTTGTACAGTAACAGTGTTTAAGAAGTTAAGAAGCCTATTTTTTACTTGAAAATGCATCTTCTGTATTAATTCACAAAAAATGAATGTTTTTAAATACAGTAAGACCCAATATGCTGTGGACAAATTGACATATATTGTATATGGGTGATTTGACTGAGAGTTTCTTGAAAGCCAAAAAATCAGGCCCAACATCTGGACATTGGCTCAAGTTAGGGACATTCTTCTGAACTTTTCCAAAAAATTCATTTTATTTTTAATTTTGAAAAAATCAAGGTAAACTATTTATATTCACAAAAATTGAAGAAATGTCTCATGATGAATTAACTCTAATTCATAATCAAAAGCAAGCTGATTTTGAGCTTCTTTTTTCTGAGTTTTTCTTTAACATCTGTGCATGTTTTAGCAAGACTTATTCTTTTTCATTGCTTTTTAATCTCCTTTTGATTCCAAAAGATCATACTCTATCTTGATTTGCTCTGCACTATTCTTTTCTACAGCTTGAAGCTCAGGGAAACAATTCCTATTAAATATTTTGAGAACTTATTTATAATTTTAGACAGAGAGAAGAATTAATCAAGTGCATTAGCATTGAAGTTTTATGGAAAATGAGACTTGACTCAGGGACATTCCAATATCAGGACACTCTTGATGCACCAATTACACCCGCATATCATGGGGTCTCACTGTATGAATTTTCGTATAACCATCAAAATCTGAGGTGAGCCTCTTATTTATGCGAGGATGAGATTTACCCGAGATAAATTTCAATTAAATATTCTAAGGTGCGTGTCTTATATATTCGAGTAAATATATGGTATAATACTGATTTATTTTAATAATTGTTCCATCATCCTAGCAGTCACATCAAATAAATCATTCATATTGGTTTCGCAGATCGTAACAGCGGTGCTGGAAGTCGCCCCGGGATTTCAATTGATCAATCGCATTCGTTGTCAGAAACCCGCGGCGCCCTGGTTCGTGAACACTGCACTGTGTTACTACAAATCCGTGTACGCCCCGCCGGCGTCCCCGACGCCTTCGCTGATGATGACCGCCACTGTCAATGCAACCGTGGACTGGGGGGCGCAATGCGGGCGCTCGACTTCCTTCATGGAGGCTCTGGTTGAGTTTGTGCCAATCCAATTCAGCAGCGAATGGGTTTTGGACTCTATTCGGTGCTGCCGAATGGAACGAACTCTTTGAATCAATTTGCAAATTTATCTGCTTCAAAAGAAAATCAAGAGATATCAACATATCATATGACACGAAATTTTCACATACAATTTTTGACCACTTCTTGCCATGATGCACATTATTTACATATGCATACAGTCCAAATATTACTGAGTTTGATTTGTAAAATGAACATGATGATGATCAACGCACTTTCTGGAAATTTTATTTTTCTTATACAGTACCATAAACTGCATATATGTACCCCAGTTTTTCTGTAAGAAATTTTTCCAAAAATCTATCACCCCCCATATCGTGAATAAGACACGCACCCCAGTTTTTTTTTTCTCTCTGAAAATCAAGAATTGTGAAAATTTTTTGTGTGGATCCATTTTGCCCCGTTGATAAAATATTTGATTTTTCCTGCCTTTTACTGTCTTCAGAAAAAGTAGTGAATTATTATTCAGTTGCTGTATTTTTTAACACATGAGAATGTAAAATTATCAATGATGAAGAGTGTTGAGGAACCAGAACTTGGGTACAGTAGGTACGTCAGGTCCTTGGACCAGAATTCAGGTCCTTGTACCTGAATTCTGGTCCTGTTTTCCTTTGTGGATCCATTCCCCAGATGCACAACTTCTTTGTTGCACATTTCTCCCACCAATCACAGGCGGGGAAGAAAGTTGAGGGAAGAATTGTATAAAACCCCACTGTTTTTCTTTCATAAAATTGCATAAGCAAATAAAGAAAATACCTTCCCTACAATCAGTCCTTTAATTTTAGCTCTTGCAGTAAACTCCCCTCAAACAATTCAACCCCAATTCTTTTGATTGAATTATTGCATTGCATTATTATTGCACCCTTAATATGTTCACACAAATGTATTGCATTCATGGAATGTATTATTGTATTCATATAGTGATGCATTATTGTATTTATAGTGATGCATTATTGTATTTATAGTGATGCATTGTTGTATTCATATAGTGATGCATTATTGTATTCATATAGTGATGCATTATTGTATTTATAGTGATGCATTATTGTATTTATAGTGATGCATTATTGTATTTATAGTGATGCATTATCGTATTTATAGTGATGCATTATTCTTGTATTGTGTTTCATTGTGATCTATTGTGGACTGTAAATAAAGCAGACAAAACTATATGAATATGTATAATTAAGGTACCCCCTCAATTTGGCCACAAACTAGCTGATTGCCCTGCCTTATCATCTGTTACCATTTCTTTCACTGTGCTATGGTTCAATTCTTTATGTTGGGTTGATTAATTATAATTCTCCAACAAAGAGTAATAGATTATATATAGCTTTATATTTTTAAAAATTATCAAAACATCAATTGCGTTTTTTGAAGAGAATTTAAAAAATAAGTCATATGATGAATATTCAGTACTGATGTATTTGTATTCTACTTGCGAATTATTCTTATTTTATATACAGTGTGCGGTATTTGTATTTAGTAAATACCTGTACTGTATATTCATCTCATATATTAGCAGCAGTAATACAAGTACTGTAGTCAAGTACTTTGCATACTAACTCTCCGCAAATTTGACCTGTGGGGATATTTTTCAATTTCAAAACGTGTTTAGCAATTGGATGACAATAATATAAGTACTTCGCACAAGTACTTTGCATGTAACTTTGTTTATTATTCCCGTCTCTATATATAGTCAAGTGAGGAATTTCGCAGTAGGGTATGTTGTGCGCTTTATATTCGATCATTTGAAAATAATGCGTTGCCCGAGTTGACAACGACTGCATCATCACGGATTTCAAATAAGTTAAATTGAAAAATTACTCCAAATTCGAACAATTATATACTGCTGCAATTCCCGGAGACACGAGGAACATCAGAAATAAATAAACGAAGCGAGCCACACCATTGAAGCAAAAAAATTGCACTCGAAATAAATTTTAATAAAAATGCACAAAAAGCATAGAACAGCATATGTCCGTCTTTTGATCCGAAAAACACTTTCCCAGTTCAGGAAAAAATAGGTTCAGGTATACGGACATCAGGGGTTAAATAAGTTCAGGTATCCACGTTTCTGCGCGGACTCGTTTCGGCGCGGACTTGAAATTAACTGAACACCGCTGAGATTGATTTTTTTAAAACCATTTTCACATAGTAAGTATAGTTATTCCAATAAGAAGCTATATAGGGAGACACCTCCTCAATGTCATCACCACAAACTTGTAGATACTTCTCAGGCTTTTGATCCACTGATGAAAAGGCCTTGAAATGTTCAGTTGTTGCATTTTATATGAAGCTTTCCCAGAATTACAGCAGCAGCGCAAAAAGCTGATCCGCGCGGAGCCGTGTGACCCCTCGTTTAAACGCATAATTTTCATCAATTCAAAGAATTTAAAATTGACACAGTCGCTCGAATCCAAGTGGCATAATGGGATGCTTGAGTGTAGATTGTAGGCATTTGCTTGTCGCAAGTCTCCGATCCTCTGCTAACAACTCCAATCAGTGTGTTGTTAATTACCAAAGGACCACCCGAATCACCCTATAAAAAAGGCAATTTTCTCACATGAAAATGTAATAATTATTTTCCATCGACGACTCTTTTGTTATCCACACGTCGTTAAATCACATGTCATATTGCAAAAACATGAGAAAATTGACTCACGAAGCATGCGCTGGAATTCGAACCACCAGCGCAAATATCGAATGAAGAAGGCCCAGGAAAGAAACCTTCAAATTTCTGCAAACAGGTCGTGTCCGTCATCAGAGGGACTTGTGCAAATTTCAGCACACTAGGCGTTGATTCCGCTTCGGAATCCGTCACACCCCATCCCGAAACCGTCGCTAATTCTATTCAAACAGACAGGAATTTAAAATTAAAATCATCGCGATTTTTATGGGAATCCCTCAGCGAACGTATTTTTCACCTCCATGCTTCGGCTCATTGGAACCCGTGTTCGGTATCGAGATGTTCGCAGCGAATTCGTTCAATCGAATGCTCATTTTCAACTGGAGCAGGCAGATGTCGTTCCATGGCAAAAATATTGCCCTTTTCCATCATGCAGCAAATCGAACACACGAGTTTAATAATACTTCTCATCTGAATAATACACCAGCACAGCAGCGCTGATGTATTTAAATGAAATTCACACATTTCAAAAACCTTACAAATATTTTGGATGTTTGATCCTGCGTCGAACCGGAATCACTTGCGCAGTTGTCAAAATATCCTTGTCGAGATCCGTTGCACCGGCAACGACCTTCAGACATCAATAAAATACTGTACTGTACATGTATTTAAACACATTTTGAAACATTTGAAATAATGCCCTGTTATTGCGGCACTACGTGCATAATTTGGATGCTCTAATTTTTATCAAATTGGCGATATTCTCACGACGAAAAGTGACGCTTTCTGTCCGCAACAATGCGCTGCAGTTACGACAAAGTTTTCGTTGTAAATCGCTCCTCCGCAGAAATGTTGCCGATTTTTAATCGTCTGTAGAGAAACTTGATACGGGAATTGTCCTTGGAAAGAAAATTGAAGAAAATATTTACATGTAGTTTAATTAATTTATATTATTCATTGATCTTTAAAACACGAAAATCAGCGAGATACTTTTTATTTACCCTGGGATGCAATTTCTCCACCGACGATTTTGCTCGTGACATTGACACGGGAAACACCAGCAGCACCTTGACGATTCGTTTCTGAAAATTGCACGGGTTCATTTTGTCAAAAGTCGGTGTTATTCCTATAGTATTTTCCGTCGAAATTGCACTTACCGATAGCATGAATTGCCAAATTCATTTGGAAGAAAAACGAAAGACAGAAGAAGAAATAGGCTGACGTGAATCCCTTCAATTTTCGTTCCGTTTCCAGCAGGTGACACCAAAAATAATTCATGATAGTATTTCTTCCTGTTCTGAATAAAATGCTGCATCATTTTAAATAAGGTTCTGATGATTTCTCACCGGATATGAAAAATGAAATCACTGTTGGGATTAATGATAAATAAAAAAACACTACCGAATATATAGCTGCTGAATTATTGCAAGGGCGTCAGAGCATCAGTCACTGGCAAAACACAACTTTTGCGGGTTGCAAAATGCTGCTGGTTCGGCGGGCAAAATTTTAATGGAATGAGTTGGGAATCAGATTTTCCAAACAATGTCCCTGATTGCAGATGGACTCAATCGATAAGTTGTTGTTTTTTCGAAGGCCAGGTATCATGCATGGTTCCGACGAGAAGTTTAAAAAAATATTTGGTTACAACGTATGTTGAGTTAACCGGAGCTTTCAATTGTATTTTGGCACGAAAATAGCAATTGCAAAATTCGGAAAAAAATGTAAACAGAAAGGCATGCATCAGTGTGAAGGCTTTTCAATTAAAAAACGGATGAACGGTTGGTTTCTCGCCCCGAATAAGCATAAGGAGAGGGATTTATTTTGAAAAAAGTTAAGAAGAAAAGTGATGAAATTGCGACGATGAAGTCGGATAAAAAGTCACGAATCAACAGCTGATCAACTTTTATGGATATATACGCTATCCAAACTACTTAAATTATTTCAATTGTTTCATATTGAAACAACAAGATAAATGTGATTCTCATATTTTATTCCATCACTATATACAGTATATTTTTCGGAACGTATACTTCTTCAGCACGCCGTATATACTTTTCATGTGATGTAACAGTACTTTATACTGCATTTAAATTAACCATCAGCACAGAACTACCGTATTATCGCGGTGACAACATAACGAAACGAATTCATTTCTGATTCAGTTAGTTGTGCCGCCTTTTTGAACTATGTATTATGAAACGTAATTTCCCTTGATCACATTAAAAAAAATTTAATTTGTTCCAGAATATTCACCAAATGACCATAATTAATCTTTAAATCAATCTATTTTTTCTATAGTTTTCAGCATAAAATTGTGAATTTTAAATTGAATTGTGTTAAATTCCAGTAATCTTGACAATTTTGTGCTCTGAATTTTCGTATCTTAAAAAAATAGACAATGAAATGGAGGGATGAAAACTATATGCCCTTCTTTTTCATCTTCCTTGATTTTTTTAACCCTAAAAAATTCCTGGATTTTTTATTCAACCCAAAACTTGATGATTTGAAAGATATTCTGGACAAACAAATTTGCACCCTGATACAGTATATTTTTGCTCCGCGAGTCACTTTCTCCCTTTAAATTTTTTTATTAAGATGTTTCATTGCAAGGGTATTTTGTTATGCAGTGAATATATGGGGGACTATCCATGTAAGGTGCACTGTACAGTCAACCCTCGGTTAATGTTTTTAGTTGGTGCAGTGAGAAAAAATGTTATCTGAAAAAAACGTTAACTGAGGGAGTCTTTCCCTTAAGAAATAAGGGAGAAACGTTTAATTGGTGTCAGGAAAAATTTTCTTAAGGTAAAATTTAGAAAAAAATTAATCGAAGAGTGTATTTCAACAACTGAGCTTTATGCACTGCCATTACATTCAAAAAGTAACCAGAATTATTAGCTCAATTAAAATCAGAGATTCATTTTAATGACACAAAAAGTCACTCATCAGAGTCACTTGAGTCATTTGCCCTCTTGCAGGGCTGAGATTTGTGACCTGATGGCCCAGCTTGGTCCATTGATGGCACAGCTTTGTCAGGAGAGAAGAAGCTTTTTATGGTTGATTGCTTCTCCCTACTTTTAAGAATTGCAGTTAAATGCCTTCCACAAACAGAGTCCAGAACATCCAAAGCTTGTTGAACTTGAATATTGTTGGGATGTTGTTCTTTGAAGATGGTTTGGACTTCGTTCCACTTGGTGAGAGTCTCCTTGATCACAGTTGACTTGAGGACCAATTTTTCATCATCACCAGCAGAAGGCCATCTGAAAAATGCAGAAATAATGAAAGAGTGTAAAACAATTCATTGCATTAAGAACAATTTAAAAACACTGAAAAGGCCTCCTTACTTATTTTGTGGTTGATGGGAATTGTACCCTCCTTCATCTATAACATCTTGGAATGTTTGACAAAACTTTCTGGCCTCCTCATGATCAGCACTTCCTTCTTCTCCTGCCAGCTTTACATTCTTCAGTCCAGTCCTTTTCTGAAACCTGTGGAACCAGCCATTGCTAGCTGTAAGAAATCCAAAGAAATTCTTTTTACTTCCTGAAACACTTCATAACTTTGGGTATTCTAACCTTTGAATCCTTTGATGTCTTCTTCCTGGTCATCTTCTTCCTCTTCATCATCAACAGACTTCCCTTCAGGGTACTCTTGCACAAGGTCTTTAAAGATCTTCTTGGCCTTTCTGCAGATGTGCTCACCAGACATGGGTTCACCTTTCATCTGTATGTCCTCAATCCAAATGAGGAGCAGCTTCTCAAGTTCATCCATAAGTGGGTGCCTTTGTTTCTTGCTGCTGATCCTTCTTGAACCCTTTGCAGAAGTCTCACATGCTGCTAGCAGCTTGTCCCTGGTTTGCCACATTGTGCCTATGGTGCTCTTGGCTATGCCAAATTCACTGGCCAAGTCAATCTGCCTTTCACCATTCTGCAGTCTCTCAATAATGCTCTTCTTATCTTCAAGAGTAAATACTTTCCTCTTTTTGGCAGCACTTGATTTTGGCATGTTCACTTTTTTGAAAAACTGAAACCTTAGAAGACAAAAAAACAAGGAAAGGTTCAAGTGATACCCAAAATTCAGTGTCTGACACTGCAATTGTTCATAAAATAATTGTAACACCACACCACCACACAGTAAACACACTTGAAGCTGTGGAAAAAGTCACATTAAAGAAAATTAACAGGAGGGAGGGAGGGAGGCATCCACATTCATCATGCTGTGCCTCACAACTGCAGAACGTTAACTGAGGGAATTTTTTGGGAAGGATCGGGAACGTTAACTGAAAACACATTAACCAAACAGAACGTTAACCGGGGGTGACTGAACACTGTGTACAGCACCTTGAACATATCCGTTTGGGCATGTTATTTCGGCCGGACAGGCGAACCATTGTTAACTAGCCATTGAAGTCCCCCTGTTCCGCCCTCATGCCCTCGTTTTCATCCATCCCTCGCTGGGAACATAGCCAGCGTCGCAAGGTTACCAAACGACCTGAAAAACATTTCGAATCAAAATGAATCTGTGTTCCTCATTTACCTATCTGGGAAAAACTAAATTATGTAGATACTTTTGTAAATCACTGCCTGTAAACTTCCATGTATTCTCTAGCCAGGTATTTGGACAAGACGAGAAACTAGGACCGACCCGAAAGGTCATGACAACCGGCAACACTGCTGCCTGATCGTTACGCCTGGTGAAGAAAGGAAGCGTAAGATCGCCCCACGAGTTTGCCCCTCTCCAACCTGCCAAATTTCAGCGAGGCGTGCGAGTGATGTTCTCTCTTTTTGCCTTGAAGTGTGTTTGGGTCCCATCATATACGAGAAGTATTTTTTGAGGTGCGATGCATTGTAATTTTTGATTCTTGATTTTCATTGAAGATAACTACGATGTTTTTCCACCGCGATTTTTCACCGATGAATCCATTGTAAATAAATCTGCGTCATTGTTTCAGTGCTGAGGAAATCGCCTAAGCTGAGTGAAGGTCTGTGCTAAGATGTGGGAAGAAATTCCGCGTTCATCTTTCATGAACATCTTCGACAACCGACGAATGATGTTGCCGTATGACTGCGTGACGGGTCCATTGGACCCTCATCATCAAGCCAAGCCTCCCAGACATTTCTTACTTCACATTCCGAGGGTCATTCCGGATCAAAAGGCCAGGTTCGAGGGAGACGATATTTTTAAGAAGCTCAGCAGGGAAGCAGAGGTGAGATTTTTGATGTCAACGTGTTCAAATCATCGTGTGTCCAACTGGAAGATGTATATCCTTGTACAGGTGAGGTATACGGGATACCGTGACAGACCCATGGAAGAACGCAGAGCGCGTTTTCAGAACGGAGTTCGAGATGGACATACAGAACTGGTATGAGATTTACTTCGTTTGTACCTGTAGGTTCGTTTCAGGGTAAAATCGCCCTTAAACCCTCACCAATTCTCTCCCTGATTCTTGCTGCGGTTTCTTTCGAACCTTTTCTCATGTTTTCTTTTCAACTTGAGATTGGTTGAAACTTTATTACAAGATGAGGATTCCTGTTGTGAATATTCGTTTCAATCTACCTGGACTACTGCACTGTATTTCCGAACCCACGCAATTCATGAAAAACAAAGGGGAATTTCGTAGAAGACTCAAGTTGATTCATTGAAACAATGTATGGCGGATGCAGTTTATGCTGGATATTTTTCTTTATAGCTGTTGTTCGGGTGCTTGGATTTATCGCCCGTTAAGTTCGCCGTAAAGCACAGACACTTGAATTTTTTTCGTGTATCAATTCACGTGTGTTCAGTTGATGAAAAATGTTGTTCATTTGATAATTCAGGCTTTCCTGGGATCTGGAATAAATTTCCAGTTGATCTTCACTCCGGCTGCGAACGGTTTCACTGGGCCTCATCATCAGCCACATGCTCCTCACATGCATGGACTGCCACCAGATTTTGATTCGGAACCTGGGAAGGTACTGTGAATGGAATATGTATTCAGCTTTATCTAGTTTTATTGAATCTCGCGAAAACAATAACTTTGTGCCGCATTTGCTTAATCTGTGAATTTAAGACACCGTCAACTATGCCCCACAAAATGACTATCTGGTGAAGTTTCTCCGTTACTGTGTTGATGAAGAATTTTCTTGTTGTACAGCTCGACTTGATACGGTGGTTTGTTGGGTGAGTTATTGAAGCTGCCTCTATGACTGGGATACTGAATGATGAGTGCGAAGGCAGGGGTAGTACTGAAGTAGAAGTGACGTGGGATAGATGTCGCACCTGAGTAGACCACCGAGTCGTCCACAATTCATCCAAAAAAGTGTATTCCTGGAAATGTTTCCGAAAGAAATTAAAATTCCGTTCGAATGTATTCAGATCGAACTTCGACGGGGCAGTAAAGAATTCGATTTTTGGAAAAGCATTTTTCTTGGAGATAAGAGAACGAATAATCACAGAACATCTTAATTATCGTGATATTCAGGGCTTAAATCACTTCTACAGTGAGTTGACAGGATGCTGAACTCAAAGGCAAGGGTTCATTTGACGAATTAGTCTTTCACTTCCTTTTAAAACACGTCGTTACATTTTGATTGAGTTTCTTGACTTTTTCCATGAATTCCTGGAAGTAATAGATCTCATGATACTGAAACCGATCGATGTATAACTGTATCAAATTTAAATTCGGCTTTATTGCGAACATTTCTGGCTATTTGAAGAACTCACGCTTCAATATAAATGTGTTTCAAAACTTTCAATGTTACAACATATGATATTTTTACAGGTTCACATCAATGCTTCGATCATCATGAATGGCGTTTGTGTGAGATGGAGGGGTTGGGTTGATTTGGAACGATTGGACGGTGCTGGTTGTCTTGAATTCGACGAGCAGAATGCCGAGGTACTTATTGAAATTTTGAAGTCAGCAATATTCCATGAAAAATTCACCCTAACGAAGTCGTACTGTGTTTAACGCTAGGGTGAACTATTTCTGAAGATATTTGAGAAAATTTTCGAACCTTTTCTTGTGGATTGGGCGATTGTTGCTTAAATTTTTGGGAATGCGTGAAGAGGTGCTCCTTCAATCAACGCTTACGATGGTTGGTTCATAAATTTTGAAACACTGTAGATCCAACGGAGTTTCAACAATTCCAAAAAAGTGCTACCCACATATAGCCCCATCATTTTACTACGCTTCAGGGCTGTTAAGCACTTTTTCCGCCGATTTCAATGATTTTTTTGTTGCAATAAATCTAACGATCGAAACAGTGCCAAAACCGAAGGTCTGTTGATTGATTAAGGCTGCTCTTTGACGGTGGAAATGAGGCTGTACCTGTCCTCAAAATCAATCCCTTTCACGTCATTCGCCACCGTCAGGAACAGCCAGATCGACTCACAGCAGGGTGCCTCAACAAGTAACACAACTCGATTTTTGGCACTGCTATATTGTTGTATAACTTGTATTTGTACAATATATTGCATGAAAAAAATCGGTGGAGAGTATGTTGAACCGGAGTGAAGTGTGCCAAATGATGGGGTTGTGTGAGTGAAGACATTTTTTGGGATTGTTGAAAATCTGTTGGATCTATTTCAAAAAGTCTCCAAACTTTTGAACCCACCCTAGTATAATTGAGACTTGAAAATATGTGGCATTTCACGTCTGTGATGTGATTTCCAGGTTGAAGATGCTTTGCTGAAAGAGCAAGTTCAGCATTACAATCAGAGAATCCAGGGATTCGAAGATAGATTCCATCCACACCACGCAATGCACCATCATCATCACCCTGGTGTCCATCCACTCGCACATCATCACGTTCGCGACCCGCATTCCATCCTTTTGGCTCACGATGACCAAGACCGGTGAAGATCGTTGGTCAAAAACTCAAGACCAAATTTATGTTGAACCGTAATGTTTTTATGCAAATGTACGCTTTAATTGTCTATGTCTCATTTTGCCCCGCGTGTATTTTTGTCTTGAGTTTTCGCAATTGTTTCGAATTCGGATCTGATGCAACATTTCTTGAGGACTTCCGTGACATGGATATTATATGAACAGTATTATACAGGATTACCCGTCACCGAATGAGGTTTCAGTCATCATTGTGTTTTCAGATTTCAGGAAATCGCTCATCACAGCTTTCCCGTTCGTGAGAAAATCTCTATTTATAAAAGTTGGATAGGAAAGTTTGTTGGTAGGGTATTGTTTTGGGTGAGACTTTTCAAATGGAGTAAAATCTCATTACAAGAACCTTTTGGGGACTTGAGAAGTTTTTTATTCTGAATAATTTATGAGGTTGAGATTATAAGAATTTATGACTGGAAAAGTTTTTCACATAAGACCTGCCTGTATAATCAATTATGATCATTGGGATTTTCTGACGTTCTCAGGTTTTTTTATTATTGTTTGAAATATTGAGTGATCTTCTGAAAAAAGCTTCAATCATGCATGTTATAAGTGCACCAATATCTTCATTTTGGATGGATGATATATTCATTCTGGGAACATTATGCTTGCTGAGGAACCACTTTTGTAGAAGCATATTTTTCGTCAATTAAACTGCTTCCATCCATGCTACAAGAACTGGTCGGTGACTTTTTTGATGGTAAATTTCAGACTGTGCCTGCGCTATTGAAGAAATTTTTACCTCTGAAGTACATTATCTGCTGCATTAAACATTTATCAAAAAACCTTGTTATGCTGGAATTGGGAAATTGGTTATAATGAGACCATTTTAACATGCACTCTATGAGCTTTCTCATGGAGAGCTATGGTGAGGGTAAATTTATTTTCTGAAGAATTTGTTGAAACAAAATTTTATTGTACAGTATATATAGCCTATATTGTATACTGTATAAGCATGCATGTATTATTCAATTGTATGGGGATGTACATTAGAAATTCCTTCTCTGGGTATAGACAAAGGCTGTGCTTGAAATTTCCCACTAGATTAATTGAATTGTTGAATCTCTTCCAATGATTCAACAAACTGAAGAATATCAGTAGAAATGATTCCAAAAAATTCTTTCAACAGCGTTGTATATTTGGGACATCCATCTCCACATTCAAAAAGGAGGACGCGAAAATAAACATGCTGCGTATAATTATATATATGATGACGCTTTTCTATGCGATGTTGACGCCAATAAGTGACATGATTCCATCATTTTCTCGCGTTGGTTTGCGACATTTCTATCATAGTTTCATGTATCCATTCCAAGTATTTGGAGACGTCAGTGTAAATTGCAGGAGTGCCGGCCTTGCACAATGGCCCTTTGTTTCGGCTCACAATTCCAATCACTGTGTCTTTCAATGTTAGAGGACCTCCAGAATCTCCCTGTGCAAGAAATACTGTTACAGTTGGACATCCATCAGTCAAACTCAGGAGACCAAGAAAAAACAGTCAACGTATTAAGGTTGAGTCCTCTTGAGTTGAGGAAACTATTGCAATTTTGGAAGAGGGAAATTGAACAATTATTACGAGAATACAGGAAAGTAAATAACGTGATTTTTGTGGCATCAAAATAATGGGTAAATGAGTAGATGGGATGCTGAATTTGAAAATGTTCGAAATTAGTCACTCATATTTCCTTTTCAAAATCAATAAGTTACATAATATATGAAGCTATTCCCAAAAACTAAGGATTTATTGCCCAAAGCAATGGCTTGAGGACAATTGTGTCAAAGCAATTTTAGGGTAAGTTCTCACAGTTAGAGGTTACACTGTTTGTCAGGAAATTCAGATAGGTACTGAATTATAAAATTGGCCTCCTGTAGTAATGTTTTTCATGTTACAGTATATAGGGGGTATTTTCTGTCAGCAAAGTCAAACTATGAGTAAGCTGAATATGTACATAGCAACTACAATTTTCTATGAATAGCAGTAAAACGTTTATGCATGTTTTTCATGAGTATAATAGTTAAATGCATGACTTTAAACAAATCGGTTTAAACATTTCTGTACCTTTCATGCAGCAGAAATTGATTTAAAATCCTTAAATACATTTTTCTTGGTACACCTTTTTCATCCCGTCCTCATCTAAATGGCTGTAGCTGGGTTGATGAATGCCAAATTTCTGTGTTCGACAGCACCACTCAAATATTTACCCAGAACAGCAATTCAGATAATAGGTTTTGTTTTGGATGAACATAAATAAACTGATAGCCTAATTATTTTCATTAGAAATCCAGTAAAAAATCAGTACCCATATATAGAAAGGAAATAAAAATCCAACCAGGCAAAAAATCGCAAGGAAATAAATTAATCAATATTTTGTAAACCATAAATGTTGAGAGATAACTGATTTGGAATACTGTTCAGAGATTTTCAAGCAGAAATATGGTATCAACTGAAATATTGACACTAAATAAACCCAATACTGTAGAATATTTATCTTCAAATTGAGGAATGAATTCAAGTCCCTGACAGCAGTTTTGGAGGCATCATCAGAATATGACGAGAGAAGTACCATTTTTCACCCATAAAATATTCATGTTAACATACCCATTATTTTCGCGGAAATATTTTGAATTTAATTAAATGTAATCAAGAATAATTTGGATCACTCACCACGCAAGCAGTAGGAGCGTTGCTGTCCACATAGTCGCCAGCACATAAGTCCTTTTCACAAAACAACTCTGATTTTGTATTGAAGAATTGGCGACATTTTTGAGACGAAAGCAGTGGAATACTCGCATATTGTAGATCTTGCGATGGTGTATTTGAAGAAGTATCATTCATACCCCATCCAGATACAACTGCTATCTCTTCTGTACATTGATCAAAGACAATCGTCAGCAATGGTATAGTATTTATATTGTAGATGAAAATAAAATTGAAAAGGAAATAAATGCAGCTGAGGAATAAACTGTGAAAATGAAAGCAAATCACTGAAAATGTTCAAAGATGCATGCCAAATCTGCTACATTTCTTAATAAAAAACCATTGGGTCATCAGTTGCCCAAGAATCAGGTGCCCAACAGGCCTGGGCCATCAGGTGCACAACCTGGACCATCAGGAGCCCAAAACCTGTTCTAACATCATGCTGATTGTGCCTCTGACTAAGCAGTGTGTTGTTCTACAGTTTTCCACTTTTTTGAGAATGACTAAGTATCTATTATTATGGCTTACAGGCTTCCTTTTTTTTTTACTTTTTCAAAGTAAAGCATGAATTAAAATTTATAACATGTAAATGTAGAGGAAAATTGAATCTGCACAACAGATTTTTGGGGTAACAGACTGGTCTGTTGCACAAATTAAATCCGTTGTGTGGGGGTTGACTGTTCTTCATTATGATGTTTCTTGAGCTTTTTGAAGATAGTAGAAGCAGTAGGGACTTCTACATTATATGCTACAGTATATATTTTCTTGTGCTTTAAATACTGCTGAAATAACTGCAGCTGAGTATGCATAAGTCTCAATTTTCAGAACTATCATTCAGATTGAATACATTTTCAGAATTGCTGGAGTATAATTATATGAATATGAGAAAGTTTCACAGCATAAACTGACCTCACCAGAGCTTGACCTCAACTGAGACTCGCCACAAAGTCAAAGAAGTCCTCATTTTTCTCAACTTGATTGTTTTTTTTAGTCAATATTAAATATTGCTTAATTTTGTCATGACTCAAATAATCATCATCCTATAAAAATTTCTCATTTCTGCTTGGGAAATCGTGCAGGAAACTGCTAAGAAGGAAAAATTATTCACAAATGCATGAACTGAAACTATACAACCTGATATATGACCAACTTGAGTGAATCAACACATTTTGGAAAATTTACGCATTTTTTCGGCCAACAAATTTGAAATAAATAATTAAAAAAATAAAAAAATAAAAAAATAAATAATAATAATAATAATAATATAAAAAATAAATAAATAAATGAAAAAATAAAAAATAAATAATATTATTAATATTATTTAAATATTGTGAAATAATGAAATAATTTTCATTATATATTATATTTCTGTGAATAATTTCAATATTTCTGTGAAATAATTTTTTAATATGAGTCATTTCCCCCTCTGAAAATTTTCATCATGCAGATTTTTCGCTATATGTGAGTCTTGCGTAATTCAGAGACGACTCATCGTCATCACTGCGAATAAACTCCTTGAAAAGCTCTTTTATTTAGTTCGAAATTGTCAAATTATCTTCGTATAATTTCAGCAGAGAAAAAATAGTGCTGGTTCAGCTGACGTTAAACGAAAAAAATGAATAAAGGTTACCATCATAATTAGTGTCAGAAGATGTAGGCAAATTGGCGATTGCGATATTCGGATTGCCCATCGGAATCGATTCCTCCAGTTTAACCACACAAATGTCATGACTGTTGGAAGAACCATCAGGCATCATCAGAATTTTTGAAAATCATTCAAATCCGGTTTATCTTATATTATGTGCATACCAAGAACTAATCCCTTCTCCTCCTACGTATAAAGGATGAGACCTGGCTTCTGCAACGGGAATATAAACAGCATCAAGGTCTTCAAGACGTGTACTGCCAGCTTGAATCTGCAAGAAAGTATTTTTTTTACATGAATTTATAATGAAATGTCATTGCAAAATGTCGTTTACCGTCGCAGACTTCGTCTGAAATTCATCGCAACAATGAGCTGCAGTGAGAACGAAGTTTTCATTGATGATGGAGCCTCCGCAGTGCAATTGTCGGTAACCGAAGAATACTTTAAGGAAGATTGCCACTTGGTATGGAAACATTCCTGCTTAAAAAATTGAATGAATAAGTGAAGTTAACATATATCTGAAGGGTAAAAAAACTCAAATAAACTCGCCTGGAAGAGCAGTTTCTCCGAAGATTACACGATTTGGCGCATTTTCTTCTGGGTTGGAATCTGAAACGAAGAAATCGTTCTATTTGAAAAAGAAAAATAACTCGGATTAAAGAAAAAGGCACACGGGATTATTTTTGGAACAGTTTTGTTTCGAATAAACTGGATCACTTTTAGCACAGCGATTTTTTTTCTTCCTATGCCAAAATGTATTGTAAAACTGGACAAATGAAATTCCAAGACGTAATTAACAAATTTCAAAGACAACAGTCAAATTCACAGATGCGCAAATGGACTTTTCTCTGACGTACGATCAAATTTGCTCACGTGACATTTTCACTGGAAAATACAAAATCTATTGAAGAATATTCTAATTCTCCCGTTCAATTTCCACTAAGGATGTTCTCCAATTTGTTACAGAAATTTCTGACAAAGAAAATTAATTGAGGCAGCATTTTATTTCAAAAAGACAGAATTTCCCTCAGTTTGAAAGTGACAATCAAGGAATATAACTGCAGAAAAGAAAATTTTTCCAGACATAAATTATTGGTACAGTATTGGTACCTCGCGATTTGACCCTAATCCGTTGCTGAACTAGGGTCAAATTGCAAAGTGGTTGAATTGCAAGACACTGAGTGAAATTCGAAAGCATGCAAACAAAAATGTTAAAAAGTGGCCAAAGCAGGACGAATTGCGGACCAAGGGTTGAATTGCATGTCAACCTCCCGGCAAATTTGACAGTCAAATTACGATGCGAATATTTTTTGAAGTGCAATTAAGAGAAAAGCCAACGTGTGGTTTCTTTAGGTAGATCATTTAGATCATTTAGATCATTTGTTTTTCTGAAGTTTCAAATGAAGATAACAGACTTCATTGCTACTTTTCTCAATTTATTATTCTGCATAAAATTTCCCGTGGACCTGCGCCAATCCGCGGACCACGGGTAGTTGAGGAACACTGGTCTAGATCAGAAATGTTTTCAATAAAGTAAACTAAAAATATCTTCTATATAAGCCCAAAATTATGTTGGATTTATCGAATTACCCGTTTGAGAAACAGATTTATTTCCAGTAAGCATGCCGAACAAATTTACTCGACACACATTCCGGTATTAATTTGCTGTATTGTTAATTTAAGTAACTATGATTGACGGTGATAACTGAGGAATAATGCACAAACAAAATTGTACATAAGTTTAGTTTTAGGTGGTATTTTCTGTGATATCCACATATTCAAATTATTAAATTCCGTACCTGAAGCTTCTCCAGCAACAATAAAAGCTGCGCATGAAATAATTACCCACAACCCTTTCCAGTTGATTGAGGCCATTTCTAGAATAGGATCGAAACTGTCCACTCACAAAAATGAACAAAGAGCATGAAAAATAACTGATCTGACTCAAAAAATATCTTGCAGTTGCTTTTTATTGATGAAATATGAGAACTGTCACCACGTGGATATTTCTTTTTCATAAACAATCGACGATGTCATTTCATGAGTAATTGACAAAATTTCACACGACCACGAAATAAATGCTCTTTTCGTCAGTGGAATGATCAATTAACAATTTATTTACCCGTGCGCGTCGTTAGATCAAATGTGCCACACAATTTTCTCACTCACGTCATCACGCCAAAAAAAAAGTTTATGTGCAAAAATGTATCTTGATTGAAAAAACTCTGCGCTCAATTTCTCAGATGATGGATAACAAATGTTATCTTGTTTTTTAGGTGTGATAAACATAAATTGGTCAGTTTTACCACTTACCATCCAGAGGGAGAATCCATATAATGAATCTTGGTTCTTTTTTCTGGGCAAATAAAATCGCCAAATACACTCAGTTATGACAGCTGGACACGTTCCACAATTTTGTTTTCTTCACATTCACAGTTTGAATTTTAGAGCTGTTGTTATTGACAGAATGACATGTTTCAGCGCTAATTTGCCGACCCAGCTGGTCAGAAATACAACTGAACGGAATGTTGACCTGAAGCATATTTTTTTATTCAATTCGCGTGAGTTTTGGATTCTAGCTTTTGTGGAATACTTTGCCTGAAAATACTATTTTTCGCTTATTGTGCAGCAGGAAATCGAGGATTCTTCTAAATCTCCCAGAAATCAAAAGTGGATTGCTCTTGACTATTTGACAGCGTTTTGAGAGAAACACAACATCCAGCATTTTTCTGGAACATGGGCTCCATTTGCACAGAGTTCCAAAAACATTGGAAATTTTGCAGAAAATCACCACAGATGAATATTAAATTCCTGATAGGGTAAAAATGCAGGATACAGTATTATAATAAAAAGGCATTTTCTTTTTTCATTCAAGTGATAAAACAGACATTGTCTGTTTATCAGGCCAAGAAAAGGTGCGATTACAGCATTTCCAAACCAGAAACTTTGTTATGAAGCAGAATAAAAAATTCATATTTTTGGAGCCATTTGTGCTTTGAAATGTGTGTAAGAAATTGAGGCCCAAGGGTGACGGACTGGTGGTACTGGGTCAGCTTGGTCTCTCCAATCCCCAGCCCACCAAACCGCAGTCCGGTCACCCAATTGTCGAGGAACCCCAACAATCGGGTGACTAGGATCCCATTGATTCTAAAATCCTGGTTGCAGTGTCTTTCCAGTCTTTGGGGAGCAGAATGGTTTCCTGCAACAGATAATTTTTTTGCACAAAATTGCATCTTGTAACAATTTTTGCAAAAAGAAAAAACTCATCAATCCCAGCCTAAACTAACCTAACCTAAACTAACCTAACATAAACTAACCTAACATAACCTAACCTAACATAACCTAACCTAAACTAACCTAACCTAAATTAAACCATCATAAATTTAACAGATAATTTTTTTGCACAAAATTGCATCTTGTAAAAATTTTTGAAAAAAGAAAAAACTCATCAATCCCAACCTAAACTAACCTAACCTAACCTAACCTAACCTAAACTAACCTAAACTGATCTAACCTAAATTAAACCAACATAAATTGAACTAACCACATTGCTGAAATTTTGCACAAAAAAATCATCTGTGGCAGGAAACCATTCTGATCTTCAAACACTGAAAAACAGGATTTTAGAATCAATGGGATCCTAGTCACCCAATTGTTGGGGTGCCCCAACAATCAGGTGACCGGACCGCGGTTTGGTGGGCTGGGGATTGGAGAGACCAAGCACTGCCCTGGCTGGCAATTGGAGGGACCGGCGTTTGACGGCTGGCGGGTGCGCAACCGTGAATTGAATGTCTGGCGGCTGACCGGATACGCGGACTGGTGGTCCTTCTCTTTTTGCCTGGGTAAAAATAGGCTGGGATTGTGACAGCAACCATTGTTGCAAAAATTAACGATAGAATGAAAATTCAACAGGCTAAACTTAAGAACCCAAACTATTGTCTTCACTTTATCTCTGTGTGAACCAAGGACAACCTTGGTTCACAGTTCACACACACATTTTCTTCGTACCGCGGACAAGTGCATGCAGGTAATCCTGCAGTTCATGCAGCCAAAAAAAAGGGCGATCCGACCCCAGAAAAGGGTCCGCCGGGAGTCCTTTGTCCGGGGCAGGGCTGGAGTTTTCACGAGAATTTGCGTGCCAAAAGTGTCATCCTCATTTTGGGGACACACTTTCAGCTGCAAGTTTGCGCCCTCCGCAAGCGTAGTTTTCGCATTTTAGAAAAATTGTTTCCGTGCAAGTTCGCGCATTTTAGCAACTCTTAGGAATAGATCCGCAGGGCTATTTAAAATTATTTTTTCATGTTAATGTGCAGATATGAAAAAAGAAAGTAAATGCATTAATTAAGAATTACGCATGAGTATAAGAATTTATCAGAGTATTTGGCAGTAACTTTTTTTTACCAGGGGAACCTTTGGCAGGATTTTAAATACATGTTATCCTCAAAATTCTGCTGCACTCCACGCCTCACTATTTTTGCACCTCTTACAATTAATTTTTACAAAACTGAACATAAGTTTTACAAAAATGAACATACAAATGGGGATGTATGCATTGTTTGTATTACAGTATATAGCATGGGGCACCTTGGATTTATTCCCACAACAACTCCATTTGCTGGATTCCCTCATCCGTATGAGGACAAAAATTTGTGGTAAGACAAAACAACGAGAAAAAACCAGAAAAACGAGTATTTGGTAATGCATTGTACATTTATGAAAAATTTTACTTTAGACCTGGCTTGCATTCTGCTCCGAATATAATTAGTCCGCCTCACATTCAGTAGGAGAGCTTCCACATGAGGGAAACCAGCAGATAAATGTAAGATAATTTGAGTGTTTTATTTAGAGAAAAAAGAGTGATATTAAAATTAATGATACTGTAGTATATTTTATTATCAAATACATCTTTTAATTGGTATCTAAATACATTTAATACAAGGAGGACAGTGCTATAGCAAAAATAGCTGTTTTGCTGGAAGTCAATTCCAATCTGAAAAATAGCCTATCCTGAAAGAAAGGCTTAATTTTAATGCAACACTTACTTTGATAACTCACAACTCTCTATGCTGGGCTTATTTTTGTGGTGCAGCCTATGTAATTTCTCACAGGCAGTGCACAGAATTTTAACATTTTGTGCATGTGCAAAATGTTTATTTTCATGGCAAAAGTTCATTTTTACAGGCTGTTCCACGTATATTTTTAAGTCACAGACCTAAATAATTTTTTAAAAGCGGTGCATTGCAGAATTTCCCAATTGTATACCTGTATGCCATGTTTATTTTCATGGGCACAGACCTTATGGATTTTTTACAGTCTGTGCCATGTCTAATCTCATGGACCAGACTTTCATCCATATTCAAGTTCCTTATTAAATTCCATTGAAGAATGTTCAGTACATTTCCAAATGCATGCAAAAACATTTTGAACATTTTAGAAATTGTGAGTTCCTGAAGAGGTACTGGATTATGGATGAAAGTCTGAGTAGAAGTAAATCAGTTGGCTAGCAATTGAGGCGTGAAGTTTATCATTCTGACAGGTTAGAGATGACAACACAACAAA